TTGTCTTGAAAAAAGCAACAAACAAACAAACAAAAACACTGCTCTTGTCTCCAAAAGGAAGAGACAGTTTGTTCTGAAGCCAAATCTTAATGGTCACAGCCCAGGATAACAGATTGATGTTTCCCCAAATAGCATATTCCACTATGGAAGCGGTTGGATGAGATCTTTTTAGTTACAGGACAGAGAAATCAAATATTTACCTAGGATAATTTTTACCAAATGATTTACCAAGTTATTGTCAAATGATTTACCAGTGATAAATCAAAGCATTTGATAAGTGCAGCAGTGGGAGCTACAGGTGGTGGGTCACAACAAACCTAGTGGTCTGGTGGAAAGCTATTTATTCTAAGGGCTCAACAGTCACAAGGAGATTAGATCAGACATAGTTGTGGGCAATGAATGGCTTTTAAAGGGACTAAAAATAACCCAAGATAATTTGGTTCTGGTCTGCAACATTTTAACGGTCCATCATCTTCCAAGTTCAGTCATTTCGCCTCATAGAATATTTAGCACCGGTAAGCCTCCCCTGCCCCTCTGTTTCTATCTCTGCCTTTTTTCTCTCCTTTTAGGAACTTCAGTTCATATTAGCGAAGAACAGTCTTAAACATACAACTATCCTTCCTCCACCTCCCAAGTGCCAGGTTATCGGGGTATACCAACATGCCCAGTTTCTTCAGTGCTGGGCATAACCCTGGGCTTCCTTCATGTTAGGCAGGCTTTCTACCAACTGAGCAACATCCTGAGCTGTTTGCTTTTGTTTGTTAAGACAGTGTCTCTATGGACTGGAGAGGTGGCTCAGCAGTTAAAAGTACTGGCTGCTCTTTGAGAGAGCCTGGGTTCAATTCCCAGTATCCACATAGCACCTCACAACTATCTGTAACTCCAGTTCTAGGGGATCTCACACCTCTGCTGATACCAGGCACTCATGTGCATGCATGTAGGCAATACACTCAAACATGTAAAATAAAATAAAATAAAAGTGGTGGTACATGCCTTTAATCCCAGTACTCAGGAAGCACAGGCAGGCGGATTATTTAATTCAAAACCAGTCTGGTCTAAAAAGCAAATCTCAGGACAGCTAGGGCTACACAGAGAAACCCTGTCTTGAAAATCAACAACAACAACAAAACAAAACCAAAAAAAAAATCACAACAAAAAATGTGTCTGTAGGGCTAGAAAAATGGTTCAGCTCTTAAGAGCACTGGCTGGTCATCCAGGGTACCCAGGTTCAATTTCTAGCACCCAGATGGTGGCTCACAGACAGTTCATTCTTCCAGCCTCTTTGTGGGCACTACGCACTTGCAGTGTAGACATACATGCAGACAAGACACCCATTCATGTTCGATAAATGTTTTTTAAAGAAAATAGTGTTTCACTGCATAGTCCATTCTGGCCTTCAACTCAGTAATCCTCCTGCCTCAGCCTCAACCTCCCAGGTGCTGGGATTACAGACACGCACTAACAAACCCAGCCATGAATGGTGATTTTAAGAAGCCAAGTATTCCCTAAGCATTAAAGTGGAGACCTATAATTCCAGCACTCCTGAGACTGAGGCAGGAGGATCACAATTCTGAGGATACTCTAGGCTATGTAGTGAGATTGGGAGAGGGGCAAAATACGAAATCTTTGCTTCTTTCCTATGTGTTTAGTTCTAAAAAGGTCTTTTGGGTAACCCCGGGTCTCAAATGCCTGTATTGCAGGAAGGAAACTGAAGGCGTAAGTCACAGACAATCCCACACAAGTTTGGAATTATAATTAATAGAATGGTTATTTATTCAAAGGGGAAAAAATTTACAGATTACCATCCCAGACAACAGCCCCTCCGTTCGAACAGGAAAGGAGTCTAGGAGCTGGAAGCGGAGCCGGAAGCCAGAGAAGGAGTGGAGGACAGCTGCTGCTTTTTTTAAAGAGAGCGAGGCCACGCCTCAATGGGCTGGTAACTCAGCTGCGATTGGCTGAAGGAGCGGAAGGAGCTCCCGCAGCATCTCCCCCTTTTGTTTAAGTAAGAGAGTTCTAAGCCTACTCCGAAATTATATACAAGTACAAACCTACAAAATTATATACAATAAATACAAATATCCTATTCTAACTAGCTTAAGTCTTGTATAACAAATAACTTGGCCAAGTCATGAAAGGAAAGTAACTACATTTATATAGTCTTTAATCCCATCGAAGATCTGAGAAGGGAAATAATGTTACCTGAGTAATTAGGAAGTGTAATTAAACAACTTCTAGAACATGTAACAAATCACAGAGACAACTGGCTACCTGGGCAAACACCCAAAGTCACGTTTGCAGCGCTGAAGCAACCAACTTTGGCTAAGGCCTGACGTAACTGACATACCATTTTGAAAGGCAAGAAACTTCAAAACTATCTTACTCTGTCTTGGCAGGATATGACAGTCCTGTTTTATCCATTTACGGATATTCTGTAACTCTCTCAGTAGTTGAGGTATGAGCATTTCTTTACCCAAAGGCCAGTTCTGCCAAGAAGAAAGCTCCAGGTGGAGTGTCTTTGGTGGTCAACATTCTCTCGGGAATAGATCGGTGTTGCCAGGAGTGACTGTGTCTCCCTACCACAGAACTCTGAATTAGATTAAAGGCCATTTTGTACAGCTCTTTGAAGAGGTTGAAGATTATGTATCTATACTGAATATCATCTTTATATATCTAAAGAACCTGATTAGTCTAATTATAAATGACAAACTTAGATGAATATTGATCTATATAATTTTCAATATCTATCTAACTTAAAGACTGAGATAATAAACAACTGTGCAATAAATGAGGACAATGTGACCTCCAAATATAAACAATGTGCAAGTATACATTGTAATATGGTAAATATATATCAATACATAAACAATATATAAGTATCTTAATCAGAGGTAGAAGTGTACAATGCAATATGGTAAATATACATATATCAATACAATATATACATATATCAATACATAAAAATGTTTTAAACAGAGGTAGAAGCATGCATGCATAAAATAGTCAACATAATTTAACTTTGTATCAATATATAAGAATCGATACCAATATGTTTGTCTAAAAACAATAACTCACAAGTACAAATCTATTATTCCATAATCCAATTATCCCTCTTTTTTTTTCCTGCTCCCGCAGCAGGAAACAGCAGTGGAGTAGAGCATGCGTAAGGACAGTGGGGAGCGGCTGGGGCTGCAGTAGACTAGAGCCGGCCCGAAAGGCACAACTATGTCTCAACTGGAATTCAGGCCATGAATGCACAGTACATGAAGTTTCTTGATTATCAGAAGTATTCATGAGCCGAGCTGGAGACTGTGAGCCATCTCATTCACTGGGTGCAGACCCTTCACTCTGAGGCTAGGAAGGAAGGAGTTCATAATTGCTGCTATGCTGACCGCGTTTCCTAAAACTGGCGCATGCTGTTGGCTTCTCTGTAGCGCACCACACCCGTCTGCACTCTATGCGCTACCATTCAGTTCCTGAACCAGGCAAGGGGCTGGAGACTGAAACACATAAAGACACACAGAGACACGGGTCATCCTTGAAACAGGAATGCCCCCTTTATTGTGACCAGGGGCAGCTTATATAGGGATAGCCATGCCCCAGCCAAACCCACCAGAAATCACTATCACGGGCACTGTAGGCTGTTGAGTTAGCTGCCTCACTGGCCCCTCTGCTGGAAGCTAGAACTTCCCAATACACCAGCCAAAGCTACCTCAGACATTGCCGCATGTCCCAGTAGGATGAAGTTAGGTCCACCTGAGAGCGACTGACCCCTGCCCAATTGTCCTCAGGTGGGCCAATCTGTTCAGCGTTAGCTGGGCTAGGGATGCATGCTATGCTGGCAGAGTTGCCTACCCAGCATGCACCTGGGCTCATCACCACCTCACACACTAAACACTAACCCAATCCCAGGACCACTCTGGCCCTCATGGATCCCGGTTACCTCAGAACCCTGTCTCCAATTCCCAACACCAAGAAGTTAGAGTCTCAGGCTGGAGAAATGGCTCAGCAGGTAAAGGCTTGTGGATCAAGTCTGGTGACGGAGTTCCATCCCCAGAGCCCATATGAAAGTGGATGGAGAGAACCAACTCCACCAAGCTGTCCTCTGGCTTACACACACATTCACACAAACACACATACACACACCCGCCACCACACACAACAATAAGGTTTTTTTGATATATAAGTATATTATATATAATGTACATGGGGGGTTAGAGAGGTAACTCAGTGATTAAGAGCACTGGTTTCTCTTGCAGAGGGCCAAGATTCAATTCTCAACACCCACAAAACAATTTGCGACCACCTCTAACTCCATTTCTAAGGAACCTAGCACCCTCTTCTGACCTCCTTAGGTACTGCACACATGTGATACATATAGACAAGTAGGCACAGACACATACACATAAATAAAAATATTTAAAGCCCACAGTAGCAGCCAAGCAGTGGTGGCACACACCTTTAGTCCCAGCACTCAGAAGACAGAGGCAAATGGAACTTTGTGAGTTCGAGGCCACCCTGATCTACAGAGCAAACGCCAGAACAGCCAGAGTTACACAGAAAAACCCTGTCTCAAAGAAAGAAAGGAACAAAAAAAAAAAAAAAAACCCCACAGCAGCGTTTTTTAATGAAATTAAAAATACATATTTACAATTTTTTTATTAAAAAGTCATGGGTTTCAACCTGTGGCCTTTGGGACCCAGATCAAGGAAGTGTCTTTATTTTTTTTTAAAGATTGATTGATTGATTGATTGATTATGTATACAGTATTCTGTCTGCATGTGTGCCTGTAGGCCAGAAGAGGGTACCAGGTCTCATTATGGACGGTTGTGAGCCACTATATGGTTGCTGGGAATTGAACTCAGGTCCTCTGGAAGAACAGCTAATGCTTTTAACCTCTGAGCCATCTCTCCAGCCTCGGAAGTGTCTTTAGAATCCAGTCAGTGAGGGACTCAGCTAAGACTCAGAGTTCACCAAGGTTCTCTCCTCTTTCTCCTCCCCAGACCCAAGAGGGATATAAAGCCCCAAAATGACCCTGTTACCGGGAGATAACTCAGACTATGACTACAGCGCCCTGAGCTGTGCCTCAGACACCTCCTTCCACCCCGCCTTTTTCCCTCAGCGCCAGGCCATCAAGGGCGTCTTCTACCGCAGGGCCCAGAGGTTGCGACCGCAGGATGATCTGCATCAGGGCAGCTCACTCGGGGACCGCAGGCGACAGATCATCATCAATGTGGGTGGTATCAAGTACTCCCTACCTTGGACCACGCTGGATGAGTTCCCACTGACACGCCTGGGCCAGCTCAAAGCTTGCACCAACTTTGACGACATCCTAAGCGTGTGCGATGACTACGACGTAACCTGCAACGAGTTCTTCTTTGACCGCAACCCCGGGGCCTTCGGCACCATCCTCACCTTCCTGCGGGCCGGCAAGCTGCGGCTGCTGCGGGAGATGTGCGCCTTGTCCTTCCAGGAGGAGCTGCTGTACTGGGGCATCGCCGAGGACCACCTGGACGGCTGCTGCAAGCGCCGATACCTTCAGAAAATAGAGGAGTTTGCAGAGATGATGGAGAGGGAGGATGAGGACGAGCCGCTGGACAGCGAGGACCAAGACACTGAGGGGCCATCCACCGGTGAGGGCCGCCTGGGCCGCTGTATGAGGAGGCTGCGGGACATGGTGGAGAGGCCACACTCAGGGCTGCCTGGCAAGGTGTTTGCCTGCCTGTCTGTTCTGTTCGTCACCGTCACCGCTGTCAACCTATCTGTCAGCACCCTGCCCAGCCTGCGGGAGGAGGAAGAGCAGGTAAGACATTCTGTGACTCCCCTGGGCGGCCTGCCCTCACTGTGCTAATTGAAGAGCCTTGGTGGTGCCTGACATTGTAATGTGTGGCTGTGTTTGCATCCATCTTCTCTGCCTCCTTCCTAGAGTCAGCAACTGTGACAAAAGGAATCAGTGTCCTATGTCCCCTACTCTCCTGTCCTGTGAGATCTAGAACCAACCCCAGCCTCTTCTGCAGATTGTGTGAGGGAACGAGCAAGGGAGCGAGCGAGCGAGGCCCCCACATGCCCGCCTCTGTGCTGGGCACATTCCAGAGGCCATCAAAACTGACCTGAATCCCTCTCCCCTTCCCATCTCCCTTCTATAGTAATATCCAAAGCACTTTTCCTTAGCCATGGAAACAATTATTATCCATAGGTCTGTGTATATGTGTATGTTCCCATTGGGTTAGCATGTCTCTGTGCACAGTAAAAAGCTGCACATAAGACATTGACTCCCAGCCTGACACAGGTTATGTGCTCCTAAAAGCCATGGGAGACAGGGGGAGGGTGGATCTCTGCCTCCATCTTACCTTCCCACAAGTCCTTCTGTCACCCTGCAGGGGACATGTTCTCACACCCACAGGAGATGAGGACATTGGGGCAGGCAGAGCAGTTTGCCAAGTCTGCATTCATGGAACCCCCAGCCGAGGACCCAGGATAACCCCATAGAAGTCCATGACTGCCCTACACTGCGCCTCCCAAAACTGGACTTGGTTGAAATCTTCAGAAGTACGATGTTCTCCATATAAAAATGCACACTAGGCTTTTCTTACAGATGACAGAGAAAGGTCTTTGGTGAGAGCTGGGTACATGGGAGTGGTCCCCTAGTGCATCTCCTTACCTGTAAGATCCCTGGGCCTTTGAGCTGTGACTCCTGCCTCACACATGAAGGAACAAGGTACACATTGTATAGGCGTTTGGGCATTAAATTTGATGACATGAAGGAGCATAAATGTCCTGCCAGCCAGCATTTATCAAGCACCAATTAGACACCCTGTGTGTGCTGAGCATTTTATACTGTTTGATCTTACCTTTTCTTGCCAGAGAAAGTCCTTCTATCTACAGATATTTTGGAGGATGTGGTCATCACTGCTGCATTTACGACCCAGAAGGGATTACTGGCATGGTCTTATACACTGAAGGAAAATATGTCACTAATAAAATTAACTTTTGATGATCATAGAGACCGAGAACAAGGAGGGAGGGCTAGAGCCAGACAGCCTGAACCTGAATCCCATCTCACCCACTCTGGCTACATAGCTGTGGGACAGTTACTAGACCACTCTGTGCCTCAGTTTCCCCACCTGCCCAAGGACTATGAACGCTATCGTGAACATTCGATTCAGTGAGTAAGTCTGTAAAGGGATCAAAACAGAGCCTGGCATGTTATCTAGTACCTGGGTTGGTGGCCCCCGCTCCACAACCATACAAGGAGGTGTAGCCCAAATAATAAAAACCCAGAGACAGATACGGGGATTAAAGCTGAAGATCAGAGAAGCAGAGCAGCCAGCTACTAGAGAGATCTTTTACCTCTACCAATGCTCAGACTGAAGGGACGATCCTCAGACTGCCCAGACTACTCTGTCTGTGTCTCCACCAAACCTCAGACACCACACTCCAGTGAGTTCCTGTCTCTTCCCCTTTACATTCCTCCCTCTGCCCAGCCATATTGCTCCTGTCTCCACCTCCCTAGTGCTGGGATTAAAGGCATGTGACTTCCAAACACTGGGATTAAAAGCATCAGCCACCACCACCCGGATCTGTTTCTGGATCGATCTTGTGTAGCCCAGGGTAGCCTTGAGCCCACAGAGATCCATTTGCCTCTGTCTCCCGTGTCCTGGGACTAAAGTTGTGGCCACCCTCCTTGTACTCTAGTGGCTTAGCTTTGCACTCTGATCTTCAGACAAGCTTCATTTATTAAAATACAAATAAAATATCACTACAAGGGGGCTGTGTGAGAGGCCTCCTGTACACACCTGGGCTACTCAGGTGGGATGCATTCCAGGAAGGCTTCCTGAAGCAGGAGGGATTCCCACCCCCAGAGACTGGAGACATCAGAGTCCCCAGGTCAGATCACATTCCCAGGCTGGGGTGCATTTGCAGAAAGACAGACTACAAAGTTCCTCTGAGAACCTGGCCATGATCGAGACCCTTTAGACTGTACCTGACTGGGACATCTGTAGCTTTCCAGGGCTCCAACTTCTGGGGGCCTGTGTGCTAGAAGTGGGGGTGGGGTGGGGGTGGGGGCAGGCTGCCTGAGTTTCATGGACTGCAACATCTGTGTCCTGTATCAATATTCTGAAGTAGGAAGAAAGACTGACAGAAAAAGAAAGAAGGAAGGGCTGGGCAGTGGTGGCGCATGCCTTTAATCCCAGCACTGGGAGGCAGAGGCAGGCGGATCTCTGTGGGTTCGAAGCCAGCCTGGTTTACAAAGCTGATGACAGGACAGCCAGGGCTGTTATACAGAAAATCCCTGTCTCGAAAAAAAAAAAAAAAAAAGGAGGAGGAGGAGGAGGAGGAGAAGGAGAAGGAAAGAAAGGAAGGGGAAGAAGGAAGAGGAGGAGGGAAGGAAGAAGAAAGGGTGAGGAAGAGGAAAGGAGGGAGGGAGGAAGGGAAGGAGAGAAACTCATACAAGACCAGGGAGCACCAGCCACTGGGTGGTTGGGATTACCTAAACTGAGGAAAGAGAAAGGCCCAGAAAACAGGAACCGGGGTGGCAGCTGCAGAGGAATCTGTCTGGGGATCAAGATCGACAGCTAGAGCAATGTCCCTGGGCCTGGTGGCATGGAGAGGCAGGAGACTGTGTCCAGTCCAGGCTAGAGCTTCCTTCCCTGCTGGCTTGCTGGTGTGACCCCTGCCCTGTCTCTCCCCAGGGCCAGTGTTCCCAGATGTGTCATAACGTCTTCATCGTGGAGTCGGTGTGCGTCGGCTGGTTCTCCCTTGAGTTCCTGTTGCGGTTCATCCAGGCACCCAGCAAGTTCACCTTCCTGCGGAGTCCACTGACCCTCATTGACCTGGTGGCCATCCTGCCATACTATGTCACGCTGCTGGTGGATGGCGCTGCCTCCAGCCGCCGCAAGCCAAGCACCGGAAACAGCTACCTGGACAAGGTTGGGCTGGTGCTGCGCGTACTGCGGGCACTGCGCATCCTCTACGTGATGCGCCTGGCTCGACACTCACTGGGGCTGCAGACGCTGGGGCTCACAGCCCGTCGCTGCACGCGCGAGTTTGGGCTTCTGCTGCTTTTCCTGTGCGTGGCCATTGCTCTCTTTGCCCCACTGCTCTATGTCATTGAGAACGAGATGGCAGACAGCCCCGAATTCACCAGCATCCCTGCCTGCTACTGGTGGGCCGTCATCACCATGACAACTGTGGGCTACGGAGACATGGTACCTAGGAGCACACCTGGCCAGGTGGTGGCTCTGAGCAGCATCCTCAGCGGGATCCTGCTCATGGCCTTCCCAGTCACCTCCATCTTCCATACTTTCTCCCGCTCTTACCTGGAGCTCAAGCAGGAACAGGAAAGGGTGCTGATCCGCCGGGCTCAGTACCTCATCAAAACCAAGTCCCAGCTCAGTGGCATGTCTCAGGATAGCGACATCTTGTTTGGAAGTGCCTCTTCAGACACCAGAGATAACAACTGAGGCAAGAGGCCATCCCTGCCCTGCCTGCCAGCTGCGGCTTCATGCAACCACCGTCACTATTGAAGCCTGGAGAAGAACTTTTGTGCTTCAAGTCCAGCCCTGGCCTGGGACTGACCCGAATGAGCCATGCCACAAGAAGGATCTGTGCCACATCACCCAGAGTCCTTGCCCTCCCTCTGAGCCCAGAAGTGAAGGGGAAGTTAGCTGAAGCCAGCACCTCACCCCCTCCCCCAGCCTCGCATCTGTTTCCCTCCCTCGGGAGCCGACTGACTCCTTTCCAGATGTAAAGAACACGCCCAGCAAAGCCTGCACACACACAGGATACTGCCCGGAGAAACATCCAGACAGCAGGCGGCTACATATGACTTCAGTGTGTGTCCACTGAAGAGGAAAAAGCCTTCTGTTGGGGGCTCTCGGGGAAGGAGCTGTGTCTCTAAGTGAAGCCAGCAGTGGGGTACCAGAAGTGCAAAGACCATGCTGCTGGGGTCTCTGGGGTGGTGAGGCACTGGTGGGATGAGAGAAAAGGGGACAGACAGACCTTTAGGGTACTGCCACGAATGCGGTCTCAGGCTCCTGCTGCTCCTGACCCCTCCAGCCTGTCCTTCACCCTTCCTGCTCACCTCCACCCTGTGTCCTAGTATACTCCTTGAGAACCAGCCCTCTTTTCAGACTCCCCTCATACCAGTAGGGGGCGGGGCACCACAAGCCAGTCAAGTCAGCTCTGCTGAATTTAAGGGCAAAATCACTTCATTTTATGGTTAAAAAAAAGTAAAATTTTAGCCTACTCTGATTTATTTTAATATTACTAAAAAAAAAAGAAAGAAAGAAAGAAAGAAAGAAAGAAAGAAAGAAAGAAAGAAAGAAAGAAAACCAAGCACTTTATCCCCCTACCCGAGCCTCAGTCTAAACCCACAGTGGCCCTACTTCCAGCAGGTGTGGTCCCAGGAAGTCTGGGGAGTGTGCGGGAAACCTCCTCGGTGCCCTCAAAGGGAGCCACTCCATGGTCTTGAGAAGTATAGTTTCTGTACCAAGAGGGACCCCATGCCAGGCTAGACGAATCCATCTCAGCTCACTGTGTCTGAGTGCTGGGTACTATTAAGGGGATGTCACAGACACATGTACATATACAAACATACGTGCACACACGAACACATATGCACACACACAGACACATGTACACACATACCACACACACTTGCCCCAGCCTCACCGGTGCAGCAACTTCCCGGACTGCTTTATCCCACATTCCAGCTGCCTTCTCTCTGTTCAGCAGCAGAAATTGCGCTTTGAAACATGACTGATTCTGACTGTGGGCTGTGCAGCTCAAACCCCTATCTGCTGCCACGGCCTCTGGCTTCTCCTACACCCCCACACCTGTCCAGACAGCCCACC